CTGCTGCGACTGGTCCGCGGTGGGTTGCACCAGGACGGGGGCGGGTTGCGGCAGCTCCTTGGGGTCGGCGGCGACGGAGAACCTCTGGGCCTCCGCGGGGGTAGAGCGGCGAGCATCCCGCCGCCGCGCCCCCCTTCCACAGTGCTTCGAGTAGGAGATCGACTCACAATTGGTTTATTTGCCCCCAGGACTGCATGTCTCGTCGAATCCATGCGTATCGTGCTCGCAGACCTACGAGCATTGTACGTGTTCTTGTGCGTGAGCTCGACGATAAAAAACAGTCTTGGGGCAAACGCATCAGTTCTGTAATCGATCTCCATCCCCCACTCGAATGCTCACCGAGCGGTGGCGCACCTGTTCCGACAAGCGGCGCGGAGGCAGCGCGCGCGGGCCACAGCCTCTCCGCTTTCGCCAGGGCCAGGCGGGCGGGAGCTCAGCAAACGCGTGGGTCGTCGAGTCCCCCCCTCCGCCCGCCGGGGGAGCCGCGGCCCCAGGGCAGAGCTACATGCGTAAAGGTGCAGCTCTCGAACGGGCGTAGGCGGGGCACGGGGAGGCGCATGAACCGGGAGGCGGATGAACATATCATACTCGCCTTCCCTCCCTTCCCTCCTGCCCGCCCGTCTGCTTCGTGCCGCTGGCCCTGGCCTCCGGCCTGCGCGTCCGCCGTCGTCGGCTTGCTTCTCGTTTCTCGTTCCCTTTCTCCCCCCTCCGTCGCCGCGCAGCACAGACTGCCTGGAGCCAGCAGCGGAACATCATCTTCGTGCCCACTGGCGTGCCCTCGCACTGCTCCATGCCGGCCGCGCGTCTGGCCGCGCTCCCCCCCCCCGACTGGCTCCTGGCTCGTCCCCGCTCCGAGAGCCCGGCCCCGCTCTGCGACGCACGGCCTCTCCGTGCGCAGCCCTCCCTGGCTGGGGCTCTCCTGCCCGCCCCCGCCCTCCCGTTTTCCCGATGCGCCGCCCCGACCGTGCCCCCCTCCTCCCGTCGCCCCTGGCCTGGCCCCGCCCTTCCCCCCCCTTTCCTCCTCCTCCTTCTTCTCCTCCTCCCCCTCCTCCTTCTTCTCCTCCTCCCCCTCCTCCCCCTCCCCCTCCTCCTCCTCCTTCTCCTCCTCCTCCTCCTCCTCTCCTCCTCCTCCTCCTCGTCCTCCTCCTCTCCTCCTCCTCCTCCTCCTTCACCTGCACCCCCTCTCCTGCCCCTGGCCCACCCCCCTCCGCCCCAAGAAACGCCCTTCCAAAGACGAAGCGAGGACGAGGACAAAGTCGGATGAGGATAAATTGGGAATCTCTGAGATCCAGAGGCGGCTCTGGAGGATGTGTCGGGCGCCGCGGCCTCCTCAGAGCGTCACCAGAACGCTCTGAGCGCGTTCGGGGACGCCCTGGAGCGGATTTATCCTTTTTCTCTCCCCGCCCGCCCCGCCCCGCCCCGCCCCCCCCCCCCCCCCCCCCAGAAACGTAGGATCCTCCCCCTCGCCCTCCTCGCCGCCCTCCTCGCCCCACCCATGTTCTGACCGCCCTCCTCGCCGCCCTCCTCCCCCCCCCTCCTAAGCAACGCCCTCCCCCTCGTCACCCCCACTCCGACCGGCCGCCCGATCGGCCGCCTGACGCGCTGTAGGGGCCTATGAAGAGGGAGCTTGGAGGGAGGATTAATTCCAACATCGTTGATGACTCTTGGGTTGACACTGCTCCTCCTCCTCCTCCTCCTCCTCCTCCTCCTCCTCTTCCTCGATCACCCCGTCCTCCCCCCTTCCCCTCCCTCCCGCCCTGTCCTGCCGTGCCCTCCCTCCGCTCCTCCCGCCCTGCCCCTGCCTGCCCTCCTCCTCCCTCCGTGCCGGGGGCGGTGGACCACCATCACCGCAGCGCCCCGCGGATGCCCCGAAGGGATGCGCAAGAAGCGGCAGGCGGCGGTGCCCCGTGGGCGCGCGGGCGGCGCGGGGCGCCCCGCCTTGGTCGGGCTCCCGCGCGAGCTCCTGGGGCAAGCTCCCCTCTCTGCCCTCGTCCGCCTCCCGCTCTTCGTCCCGCTCGTGCTCCTCCCCCCTTCCTTCCCCCCCCCCGCTGCGACCGTCCTGCGGACCGATCGCCTGCGCCTGAAGCCCTGTGGCCGTCACTCTGTCGGTTGCAGCCTGGGCTCCCTTCGCACTGCTCCGCGGTGCTAGTCGCGCAGGAGAGTTGGCTTCTCAGTCCACCCTCCCGCTGCCTCCATTCTGCGTGCGGTGCTATCGATTCGACTGCACCGTGGCACGCTCGCTTGCTCCTCCCCGCTGCGGCTCCTCCTCTGTTTATTATGGCCATTCTTTTCTTCAAGCCATAAGCATGCGACAACTATCATCCATCTATATACGCATTATTATTTGTCTTGCTCCTCCTCCTCCTCCTCATGCCCCGTCCCCGTCTCCGTCCACGTCCCCGCCCCTTGGCTCCTCCTCCCCCTACCCCTTCCCTCTCGTTCCCTCTCGCCCCCAATTCCCGCTGCCTTCCTTGTCCCTCCCTCGTTTCCCCTTCCTGCT